GTGATCCTCCTGTCTCAGCCTCCCCAGTACTGGGATTACAGGTGTGCACCACCATGCTGGTTTTGGGGCTGGCACAGAATGTAGTACCAGGGATCAAACTCAGGTCCCTTGAGCTTGCCAGGCTGTCACTTAGACCATGAAGCAGTCTCACCAGCCCTCAGCCAATTTTGTAGCTAAAAAATGTGACTAAAATTTTTAAAATTCTATGGATGAGTTGAGCAGCAAAAGAGAAGAGAAAAGAATCTGAGCCAGGAGATACAAATTACCCATTCTGAACAGCAGAGTTGGAAATAGGAATATTAAGGGTCTGTGGATCAATTATCAAAAAAATTAACATTTTTGCCACTGGAGTTGGAAGAAGAGGATATTGGAAAGGTACTCAAGGTAATAATGGCAAAATCCTCCTGAAGTTTTCAGAACATATGTCCTACAGATTAAGTAAGCTGAGTGCTAAACTGGGAAGATAGGTCGGTGATCTAAGCACCTGCCCAGCAAGCACAGGGTCCAGAGTTTGACCCCTGGTAGCACATGCCTGTAATCCTAGCACTCAGGAAGTTGAGACAGGAGGATCACTGTGAGTTCGAGATCAGCCTGGGGGCTATAAAAGTAGACACAGGGCCCACCCACACTGCATAGTGAGACCCTCTCTCAAAAAAAAATCTGTTTATAAACTACATAGTCTATGGTTATTTTTTTTTTAAATATTTATTTATTTATTTATTTATTTATTTTGTGTGTGTGTGGCCAGCTCAGCCCACCAGGGGGCAGGGCTGGCTGGCATGTGGTGCTGGGGATTGAACCGTGGTCCCTGTGCTTTGCTCAGCTTAGCTTGTTCTAAGTAGGTGCTTTAGACCACTGAGCCATCTCACCAGCCCTGTGGTTATTTTTTAACAGCAGCCAGAGGAGTCTACTAAGTGAAAGCCAAACCAGATAAACCAAAACTCGCTTGAGAACACATTAAAGTCAAACTTTTAGAAAATAAAAACTAAGAAAATACCTTAAAAACAGTTAAAAAAAAATCTAAGTTGAACAATTCATAGGATATTGGATTTCTCATCAGAAACTACAAAGTAAACAGACAAGTTTTCAAATGCTAAAAGAAAAGTACAAGCAGGAGGCCTGGGGTCCCCCCAGATGGTGCCAGGTGGCACCAGGGTGTCTCAGCCTGGCGCCACGGGGGTGGGGGGTTGGGGGATGGCGGGGGGGGGGTGTTGCAGGGAAATCAAGTCGCAGTTCTGCAACCGCGTAGCCTTCTGCAAGCTGCTTCAGGTCCTGCCCCGGTCCCCAAGCGCCGCCCCAGGCCCTGGCCTGCGCTGCAGTCAGTGCGCCTCAGCCTCATGCAGCTCGGGGAGCCAGAAGGTGCTGGGCTGGGGAGCCGCCCGCCATGCCCCTGGGGCTGGGCTCAGGAGGAGACCGCGTTGGCTTCAGCTTGGGCCTCGAGCTTTATTTGTACCCGGGCTGTTGCCACCGCGGGAGCCGACAGTCCATTGACCTCAGCAAGCCAATTGACAAGCGGATCTACAAGGGCAGCCAGCCTAGTGCCACGACTTCAACCAGTTCACTGCTGCCACGGAGACCATCTTCCTGCTGGTGGGCTTCTCTGCCGAGCAGGTGCAGTACCTGGACCTCATCAAGAAGGATAGCAGCAAGTTATTCAATGAGGAGCAGCTGGCTGACAAGACGAAGGTGACATATCTGAAGTGGCTGCCTAAGTCCAAGAGCCTGTTCTTGGCTTCCCACGCCAGTGGCCACCTATACCTGTACAAGGTCAGCCACCCCTGTGCCTCAGCCCCGCCCCAGTACAGCCTGCTGAAGCAGGGTGAGGGCTTTGCTGTGTACGTGGCCAAGCACGTGGTAGTTGAAGGGCCCCTCAACAAGTTTGCTTTCCCACCTGATGGCCACCTCTTGGCCTGTGTCAGCCAGGACAGCTGCCTGCATGTCTTCCACTTCGACTCTATGCTCCTGCGGGGGCTCATGAAGAGCTACTTTGGGGGTCTTCTCTGTGTGTGCTGGAGCCCTGACGGCCGCTTTGTGGTGACAGGAGGCGAAAATGACCTGGTCACCGTGTGGTCCTTCACTGAAGGCCGCATGGTGGCCCGAGAACATAGCCACAAGTCCTGGGTCAATGCCGTGGCTTTTCACCCCTATACCACGTGGGCAGAGAAGGCAACAGCAGGTAGTCGTGATGGGGATGGGAGTGGTGAGGAGCTTGAGGCTGCTGGTGCAGGCAGGGGCACCTCCCTCCCCCAGTTGCCCAAGGCTGGCTCAATCACCTACCAATTTGGTTTGGCTGGTCAGGACACGCAGTTCTGCCTGTGGGACCTCACTAAAAACGTGCTGTCCCCACACCCTCCCCTCACACGCACATGCACTCTTCCTGGCACACCAAGTGCCACACTGGCAGCTGCAGGGGTCTGGAGCCTGGCCCAGGTCCCCTTTCCCCGCTCTAACAGCCTCCTACACCTAGCAGGCGGTGACAAGGCTGGCGGCCCAGGTGCTTCTGCAGAGCTGGGCACACCATTCAGCATCAGCCACTTCACCACACTTACACTGCAAGAGCGGAGGGACTGGGGGACTGAGAAGGAGCACAAGTGCTACCACAGCCTGGGCAACATCAGCTGAGGTGGCAGTGGGGGCAGTGGTAGCGACAAGCCCAGTGGACCCGTCCCCCGCAGCTCCCTGGACCCTGCCAAGGTGCTGGGCACCGCACTGTGCCCGCGCATCCACGAGGTGCCACTGCTGGAGCCCCTGGTGTGCAAGAAGATCACCCAGGAGTGATGGTGCTGCTGTTCCTGGAGGACTGCATCGTCACTGCCTCCGGGAGGGCCTCAACTGCATCTGGGCCCAGCCCGGCAAGGCATTCACAGATGAGGAGACGGAGGCCCAGGCAGGGCCAGGAAGTTGGCCCAGGTCACCCAGCAGTTCAGTGGTAGAGGGCATCTCCTCCCAGCCAGGCAACTCCCCAGGTGGCACAGTGGTGTGAAGCTGTGGATGTTGGGGTCCTCTGCCCCATGCTCCCAGCCTCCTAGCCATAACCCTCCCTGCTGACCTCATGGATCAACGTATTAACAAGACTAACCACAAAGGAAGAACTGTTCGGTCCCCCGCCCTGCACAAATATTGGGGGTCCCCAAACTGGCCCAGACATGGGGGATGTAGCAGCCCAAGTGGCCTCAGCCCTGTCCCCACCCATTGCCAAGTACTGTGTTAACCCACATCCCTGTCCCCAGCATGTGACTGGTCATTTCTGGGGAAAAGCTCCCAGCCACCAGAGCCCCAGCTCCGCAGCACACTCTTGGGGTAAGAAGGCAGAGCAGGAGTGGTCCCCTCCCAGCCCGTACTTGGTCCCACCCCTTGCTTTTAAAGAGTGTTGTTATGGAAGTTCCCAGGACTCTCCTTGTCGCCCAGAACTTCTTATTTATACTAAAGTTCCCTGTTTGCAAAAAAAAAAAAAGTACGATCTGTCCATATTCTCTGCCAATTAGAAACAGCCTTCAGGATGATGATTGAGGACGTTTGCTAACATCCCCAAATATTTCTTGTGTAATAAGCCAAAAGTGGACAGACTTACTTTGTCCATCAATGTTTCTTTTTTTTTCTTTGCGGAACTGGGGATTGAACTCAGGCCCTTGCACTGGCTAGGCAAGCACTTATTCTACTGAGCTATTTCCCCAGCCCCTCATCCATGTTTCAGAGGTTAAATAATGAGTGCTTTTGTTTCACTACTGGGCTCAGTACACGGGACACAATGGATACTGCACTTCACTTGCACAGTGCTCTGCACTTGAGCTCACACTTCTGTCATCTTCAGTACACCATTGAGATGATGCTCACTGGCTTGGCTAACAAACCCAGGTGGAATGGAAAGGTTTTGTGTTCATTATATGTAATGCTTACTTTTGAGACCGTATCCATTTATTACACTGACGATTTTATTTACCAGAGACTAGCTTCTATATTCTGAGAGAACACTTAATTTATACTGTCTGTAAAGCCAATGAGGCAGATCTCTTATACAAACTAACTGCAGAAGTGTGATACATTTGTAACTCATGCATATGTAAATGTAAAGACATTCTAAAATGCTGATCATATGTGAAATATTAAAATGTTAAACTCAAGTTTTATAGAAGATGGGGCTGGGGAGATAGCTCAGTAGAATAAGCATTTGCCTAGCAAGCACAAGGGCCTGAGTTCAATCCCCAGTTCTTCCGGGGGAAAAAAAAAAAAGGTTTTCTAGAAGAATGGGATTAAAACTAGGTTTATAGGGCTGGCCAGATAGCTCAGCGGACCTGTTTTGGCAGATGCAGGGGCCAAGGTTTCTATCCCTGGCCTGCCATTCCAGTCCCGCCCCTGCGAAGTGCTGAGACAGCAATTGAGACTGGGCGTGGTAGTGCACACCTGTAATCCCAGCACTTGGGAGACTGAGAAACAGGAGGATCACTATGAGTCCAATCTGTGTAGTGAGACCCTGTAGATCCTGTACTAAACATTTAAAAAACTAGGTTTGTAGCAGATAAATTACCCAGGTAGGTAGCCTACTTTTATTTGTGGGAATATCTTAAGATTTTTTATTTAGGCATAAAGTTACAAAGATTTGACACCAAGAAAAAGGAGAAAATTGACAAGTTGAACTTCATCAAAGTTAAAAAGATCTTATGGAAAGAATGAAAGTAAGCAAATGGGCCGGGAAGATGGCTCAATAGAATAAGCACTTCTCTGGCAAGCGCAAGGCTGAGTTCACACCCCAGTTCCGCCAAAAAAAAATAAAAAATAAAAAATTCACACACAAATGCAAGTGGAAAAGCTGCCAATATCTGGTTTCTGTCCACTCACAGGCATGTACTTAGGTACCTTTTGACCCCATGGGGAGAAAAGTATTTAACATTCAGAAACACCAATAACAGGAAAGAGGGGGAAAAAATTTTGACCATGAAATGTTTGAGCATGAAATGTTAGCCATCATATCGAACTCTGAAGTGCATTTTCATATATGCACCTGGATGTCTTTTGGCATCTTTTTTACACATTTGGTGTGAACAGCACAGAGGTTGGTGTCTTCTAGCACCCAACTTGATAGGTCTCGCTTGTCTCCTGAAGAACACCAGGAGCCGAGCTCTCAAAAGCACAGATCTGTTTGGAAGACCTGACTTATTTCTGACAGCAGACACTGGAGAGGGAGTTTGTGAATCAGTAGTTCACTGAACTTCTGATAACCCCTAATTTCACAAAATCCCACAATCCCAACCTGTAACAATGGGATTGTGCACTTTTTTTCCCCCCCTGATTGTGCACTTACTAGAAGTTTTCTCTGGGTCCTGTACCCCAGGTGGATTTGCAAGCAGTCCTCTTTATAGGAACCACAGTATAGCAGCCGCTGGACTCGCCCTCTTCTGCCCCTGGAGCTTGACACCGAGAGGTAGCACTGGTGTTAGAGGATGGCTGCAGTGGTGGCACCAGATATAAGCAAAACACGGCTTTTACATTTCTTCTTTTTTTTTTTTTTTTTAGCTTTTCCATTTCTTAATGAGATTTATTTCTATGGCTTTTTAGGTGGAGTATTACTTCTGGAAAATCCGAAAGGTGATAACCGGTTGGACCTTCTGAAACTAAAGAGTGTTGTTACTAGCATTTTTGGTGTTAAAAATACAGAGCTGGCTGTGTTTCATGGTGAAACAGGTATGTGGGAAGTAAGAGACTGGCTGTGCCCTTCGGCAGCTGAAGGTCCTTGTCTGATACCTGCAGAACCTTGGTGTTTTTCTCAATTCTGTTTGTCATCTCAGCAGAGCCTGCCTGCAGCGTCTCTGCCTCCTGACTCATGTGGCTGAGAACCCTGGACTTAATGGGTGTCAAACAAAGGCTCTGACTACCTGTATTACCTGTTAGCCCTGGATTCAGAGACCTGTTGACTTTTTTTTTTTTAGGTGGAATCGGGGATTGAACTCAAGCCCTTGTGCTTGCCAGGGACCTGTTGACTTTTAATTTTATTAAATACAGTGTCTGAGTCTTCGACATCTAGGCAATGAAATATGGAATTTAAAGAATTAAAAACTTTTTTGGCAGCTATATTTATTGTTTTAAATAATGGTTATATGGGGAAGTTTAAGAAGTTGATATAGGGAAAACTTTTTAAGAGGAACCAGACTATATAGAGATTTTTTTTTTTTTTTTTTTTTTTTTCAGAACCAGGGATCGAACTCAGACCCCTGTGCTTGCCAGGGAAGTGCCTATTCCACTGAGCCATCTCCCCGGCCCCCTAGAGAAAATATTAATGGGGGAAATGCTTTATCTTTTGAGTTAGGGATACTGTGTTATGCCATTTACACGAATAACATACCTGGCTGTTGCAGGACAAGGGGTGGTATAGCTCAGAAGTAGCATGAGTGCTTAGCATGCGCAAAGCCTTGTAGATCAGTGCCTAACATCAGAAGCAAACAAGATGTATGCTACTGTGTGAATTTCATTAATACGTGGTAGCATGCTTTGACAAATTAAGTGTAAAACATTACTATTAGGAAAAAAAAAAAAAGGGCTGGCCAAATAGCTCAGCACCCCGGGGCCTGCCCCCAGGGTGTGCTGAAATGGCAGTTGAGACTAGGTGTGGTGGCTGTGGTGGTGTGCACCTGTAATCCCAGCTCTTGGAAGGCTGTAAACAGGAGAATCACTACAAGTCCAATCTAATAGTGAGACCCTGACACCCTGTAGACCCTTCCCTAAAATATAGAAAAAATAATAATAAATAATTTTTTTAAAACAGGCCAGCCACATAGTTCAGCAGACTAAAGCACCAGCATAGGCAGGTGCAGACACCAAGGTTTAATCCCTGGCACCATATGTTGTGCTGGTCCCACCCCTGGGTCACACTGAATTGGCACCTGAGACTGGGCGTGGTGGCATGTGCCTATAATCCCAGCACTTGGGAGGCTGAAAACAGGAGGATCACTACAATTCTAATCTGTAGTGAGACCGTGTAGATCCTGTGCTGAAAAAAAAAAAAAAAAAAAAGATATGCTAGTTTAATCATGAAGTGAGAAAAAGAGAATGACTTTAGAATTTTTATTTTTAGAAATACAAAACCAAACAGATTTGCTGAGTCTCAGTGGAAGAACCCTCTGTGTGACTGCAGGACCAGCCCCCTCTCCGGCCAAGAGTCCCAGTCCTCTCCTCTGTCAGTACATAAACCTGCAGCTCCTCAACACAGAGCCTCAAGGTATGTGCGCCCCTCCCCCAGTGTGTGAGGTGTTGGGTGCTATGAGTGTTGGTCCCTTCAGTGTATGATCTGATGGAGATTTCTTCACATCAGCTTCAGCTCTGTGACTCAGTGTGGACTCTCACTGCTTGCCTGAGTACCACTGGCTTTTTTTTTTTTTTAATGTGTTATGTAGGAGAACCTCATTCATATGGCATAGTCAAGAAACGAAATATTCTTAAGTAAAAAGTACAAAATATGGGAGCCAACAAGATAGCGCAGCAGACTAAAGCACCTGCTTAGGCAAGGGCAGGGACTTCGGGTTCTATCCCTAGCACCACATGCCACACCAGCCCTTCCCCTAGGGCAAGCTGAGCCTGCCACAGTATGGGCATGGTGGCACAGTGATCCCAGGGCTGAAAACAGGAAGATCACTACAAGTCTGAGCTACGTAGTGAGACACTGTAACAACCAAATACATTTTTAAAAAGTACAATATATGTACAGTTCAACCATTATTTATCAGAACATTTCATTTTGTACTTTTACCTCATTTTTCTTGAAACATGTTTTAAAAACTTGTTTACCTTCATGCCTTAATGGCACCTAGACTGATACTTTTTTTTCTGATAGTTCAGGTTCCTCATTGAATACCTTTTGAATACCTTGGTTTCCTCACCGACTGTGTACTGAATATTTTTTTAAACTTTTTTTTTTATGTTTATTTTAATTTTTTGGGCGGAACCGCGGATTGAACTCAGCCCCTTGCGCTTGCCAGGCAAGCACTTATTCTGCTGAGCCATCTCCCCGGCCATGTGTACTGAGTACTTGTTTCCCAAACTGCTACCTTTATACAAGTGTTTCTTTTTCCACTCTGTCAGCTTCTCAGAACATCTGAGAATTGTTTGAAGCCTTTTGTACACTATACCTGCAGCTGATAAACCCCTGTTCCTATGTCCAGGGGTGGCCTTCGAAGCTGCCCCCACAGCCTGGGAGCTGTCTTCATTCAGTTAGGGTCTCTGTGAGAGGATGAGTGCTCAGGAATTGACCCAGCTTCTGCTTTCTCCTGTAGAGTGCTTAGTGGGCACAGTGGGCACTCTCCTGCTGGAAAACCCTCTGGGGCAGAATGGACTTACCCACCAGGGTCTTTTATATGAAGCAGCGAAGGTGTTCGGTCTTCGTGGCAGGAAGCTGAAGCTGTTTCTAAACGAGACTCAAACCCAAGGTAAGGGAATTTGGGGTCATAAGCTGATACACCTTTATTGACTTGAAACTAGATGTTAATACCATTAACCATGTGTTGATAATGTACTATGAGCTAGGGTACTTTTTTTTTTTTT